CTGACAAATTATATGACCATGCAAATGAAAGAGGAAACCAAGGACCAATAAACATAAAAAGGTACTCAACCTCATCAGTAATCATGAATCGTTACAAAGAACACTTAAAGGTCAATGCAAATCCATTTCATGGCTCTTGGATCAGCACCAATGTTTGTATAGTAGTATCTGGAGCTGACAGAGACATGTGGGAATTCTCATACTGCTGTCAAAGTATAAAACTAGTTCAGGGTATGAGGAGATGGCTCAGTCTGTAAAGTGCTGGCTGTATAGGCATGAGAACCAAAGTTTGATGCCTAGCATATACATTTAAAAAGTGGTGTGTCTGGAGGGGGGTGAGGTGGGCAAGAAGCCCCAGTCCTAGCGGAAGAACTGTTGGCAACTGATAGCTGATGGGAGAGGGAGAGTCAGTTTCCTTTAAGGGTGTGATGCTGGGTAGGTTGACCAAGTTCCAGGGGATGAATCCGCACTGACACTGAAGAGCATCTGGGGACACACAATAGATTCCACAGGCCTTAAAAAAATAGAGGACAAGAAGTTGGGGGTGGGGGTAGTAAGATAAAGGTGGAGCTAGGAGAGAGGGTCTGAATATGATCAAAATACAATTTGTAAAACTCAATTAAAAACAAAGAATAAACAAAACAAAACAACGGAATGTGGTGGTGTGCACTTGTAATTCCCGCATTCAGGAGGCAGAAACTGGTAGATCCTTGGAACTTGACTTTTGTTTGGTCAGCCAGCCTGGCCTAACCAGTGAGCCCCAGGGCCAGTGAAAGACTGTCTTAAAAACAAAAACAGAAAGGTGGGCACCATTGTGGAAACAGCGCCTGAGGAAGAATGGCACCTGAGGTTGTCCTCTGGCCTCTGTACACATGTACATCTGTGTACACAAAACTAGTTAATTATTCTGGAGAACAATTTGAAAATACAGGGGAGTCTGTTGTTGTTTGGTTGGTTTTTTTGAGATAGGGTCTCATTCAAGCCTAGATTAGTCTTGAACTCATGCCAATTCCCCGTCTCAGCCTTCTAAGTATTGAAATCATAGAGATGAGCCACCATAGTCAAGAGAAAATATAGCTTTTAAATTGTTGGGGCTGGAGCGATGGCTCAGTGGTTAAGGGCACTGGCTGTTCTTGCAGAGGACCCAGGTTCAATTCCCAGCAACCACATGGTAGCTAACAACTGTCTGTAACTCCAGTTCCAGGGGAATCTGATGCCCTCTTCTAACCTCTGCAGGCACTACATGACATGGTGCACTTACATATATGTAGGCAATATACTTACACACATACACAAACAGTGCACTTACATATAAGTAGGCGATACACTTACAAACACACACAAAAATAATAAATAAAATATTTAAAATAGTTAACAGCACCTCTGTGATCTAGTATTTATTTGGTTTGGTTTGGTTTTGGTTTTTGGAGACAGGGTCCTCTTATACTCAGAAGTGTATGCCAGCTACTGCTCAGGTCCCTAGGGATGCTTTAGAGAATGAGAGAGAAAAGGTCTTGGTCTCAGGATAGGGAATAGGGGAGGGAGATACAAACACAAACCAACTACAGGATGCCAGGCAGTAGGTAGGACAGAGCTGAGAGAATGAGGAAGAACTCTTGGAAAAGGTGGGAAGGAGAATAGCCAGGCATGCAAAGGAGTGAGTTGTTATGGAATTCAAGGAATCTCACTGGGCCCTGGGCAGGAAAACTAGGAACTACAAACAAAACACAACAGTACTCTCATTTTCTCCCTCAAATTCAGCTGCCCTATAGAATTCAGCCTCCAAAAGACAAAGAGAGAAACTGGGAAGAAGACCATCCACATGCCCTTTGGTCGTTCTCTCTCAGTAACTCTCTCCACACAGCCAGCCCACAAAAGTGCTGGTTCATTTTTTTTTTTTTTTTTTTTTTTGTTTTGGTCTTTTTGAAACAGGGTCTCCTTATAGCCCCAGCTGTCCTAGAACTCACTATGTAGACCAGGCTGGCCTTGAACTCACAGAGATCTGACTGCCTCTGCCCCCAAGTGCTGGGATCAAAGGCGTGCGCCAACACATCTAGCTGGTTCTTTTTTTTTTTTTTTTAACCACCCCTTGTGTATATGTGTGTGCATGTACACATATATATGTGAGCATACCTCCATGTGTGAATGCGTATACGTGTGTGCTAGTGTGTGTGGAGGGCAGAAGGTGACATTGGGAGTCTTCACCAATCATTTTCCACCTTGTTCATTGAGGCAGGATCTCTCAACTGAACACAGAGCTCACCAAAACAGCTGGTCTAGCCCATCTCTGCCTTCCAAGCACTGGAATTACCAGTGGGCCATAATGCTCACAGGCCCTAATGTAGATTCTGGGGATCCAAACTCTGGTCCTCATACTTGTGCAGAAAGAACTTTAACCACTAAGTCATCGTCTATGCTTCTTTAACTCATTCTTTCAATCTGCATAGGGGGGCTGCCTTGAGGAAGAGACTGCCTAGAAGCAGACAGTGTCCCTGTACTCTGGCAGAGAGAAGAACAGTGGCCAATTCATAGGTAGCAATATAGACTTTGTCTGCCACAACTCTTCCACAAATGGTCCAGGAGCATAGAACTGACCCAGATTGAGCAATTGGGATTCTTGGGAGCTCATAGGGTGGGGCAGTCAGGTATCTGGCCTGGGCCTGGAACCTACCTACCTCAGGCAGGTAACCAGCACCAAGGTCCTGGGCCAAGTCTCCACATCCTGAACACGAGTGTTTTGCAAACTGTCAGGCCCTATACATACAAAAGCTCTGTATACATGTTTAGTTTCCTCCAACCCACATTTATGAAGTATATACTCTGTGCCAGCTGCTGTACTAAGTACTTGAATCCAGCAGTGAACCAAGTGAATAAAATTCCCTACTTTTGCCAAGAGTTACTTCACTGGATTTTCATCAGTGGAGAAAAGGTAAGCACACACAATAGAGGCGTAAATACAGGGCATGCTAGAAGGTAGTAAAAGCTACGGGAAGACTACAGGGCAGAGGAGGAAGGTTATGGAGAGGAAGGCTGAAGCTGTAAGGGGGATATGCCCACAAAAAGAAGTACATAGGAGGGAACAGCAAAATTTTTAAAGGGCCAAAGAGCAAATATTTTAAGCCTTGAAAACCATACAGACTCAGCTCCCTGTTCCTGCCACTGTATGGTGAAAGCAGCCATGGCTGCTATGTAAACAAATATCCCCCAAAACTTTATTAGCAGACACAGGCTGAGTTGGCTGTCCCTTGTACATGGAAAGAACTTGGTGCTCTATAACTTGTCTGGTGCCACTCTGCCTCCCACTCAACAGAGAGCTATGGGGACAGGGCTCATGCTGCTTATTTCCAGTAAGCCCAGAGAGCTACTACCAATCAATCACAGCTGGCAAGTTCAAGGAAGCCTGATTACGGTCATTATAATAGCTACTGACTGAGCAACTAAATCCGGCAGGAGTGGTGGTGTTTGACAGAGGACTGAACAGAAGTTGGTAGTAATGGTGAACATGGAGATGGTTATTATTAGCACTTAGCCCTGTGCCTAAGATGCAATAATAACTAGTGAAACCAAATCCACCTGCTGTTTAAGACCAGATCTAGAGCAAACTGAGCATCAGTTGCATAAGGATATTGTTAGCTTCTGTTTCATATTGTTTTGAGATAGGATCTTGCTATGTAGCCCAGACTGACCTCGATTTCTCAATTTTCTAGCCTAGGTCTCTTGAGTACTGAGATTTTCAGGCATGTGTCACCTAGCACAGCTGTAAACTGCTGTAGTTTGAATCGTTTTTTTAAATAATTTATTGAGAATTTCATATATGCATATAAGGTGTTTTGATCAAATCCATGCCCACTCCCTCCTTTCCAACTCCTCCCATATTTCCCCATCAGTTTTTTCTGATAACTTCTTATACTCTTTCTTCTTTTATTTTTTTTTTGGGGGGGGGCTTTGGCTACTCTAACACTCCCCCCTTTGAAGAGGTAACCCTAAAATCTTTAAAGATTATATAAAAGCTCCCAAATACTTTTGACATTTTTGGCCTTTGGAACGGAGTATCTTGCTAAGCAGCCCAAGGACATTGTGAGTTTTAGCCAAGAATCTGGCTACGTTCCTTTGGTGTTTTTTACCCTAAATGCCTAGCCAAGGCCTACCTCCTATTATTATCACACCATCCTCTGAAGAGGTTACCCAACTTGCAGATAGGGAATTGGGGCGCAGACTGCTTCTTCCGTGCTGAACAGGGACACAGGGTGAGGCAACTGGAGTATCCCTTCAATGGGTTTATCTAAAAGACTCCCAAATTGCATTAACACCTACACCATGTGGAGGCAGGATCCAGGTGCTCTCAGGAAGTCCCCTGCATTCTCAGCCCCTAGGCCAGAGGGAGGCCAGAACCCGCCACTCTCTGGCAGTCTGCTGAGATCATAGCTGCTACACTGATCTGTAGTTTGGATCTTATATGTCCCAAAAGGTCTGCATGTTGAAGACTTGATCCCCAGCCTGTGGTAATACTGGTATTAGAATCTTTAAGAGGTAGGGCTTAGTGAAAATAAGTTAGGTCAGTCACTGGGGGCATGCCCTTGAAAGGGACAGGAACACCTCAGCTCTTTTCTGCCACTTTGCTTTTCAGCTGCAAGAGGTCAACAGGCATCTTCCTTATGTGCTCTTATTGCCCTGCCAAAGGCTTAAAGGCAAAAGGACCAAATGACTACGGACTGAAGTCTCTGAAACCATAAGTCAAAATAAACCTTTCCTCCTTTCAAGATGATTATCTCAGGCATTTTATCACAGTAATAGAAAGCTGACTAGTAGGAGCCAAGTTTATATTTTCTGTAATTTTCAGTAGTTACACACATGCATGAAAGTCAGAGCAGCATAGTGGGCCTCCCTGTAGGGAGACATCCAAACAAGTCCAAGCCCAAGGGAACCAACACGGCTTTTGTCCCCCTTCCCACCTGCCCCCCACTTGCACTGGCAGCCCATGGCTCAGGGACATGACTCACATAGAATCGCAGCAGAGCCCCATCTGAATTGCAGCACCAGGACCTCCTGCCCAAGTACTCATGAGCTGTGTTGAGCAGCATGAGAGAAGACGGGAGCATGGGCATCTCTGACATCCCTGGGAAAGGTCAGACCAGTAGACAGCGTTAGTGAAACACAATCAGCAGAAGAGCTCCTAGGCTACCTCTTCTTTGATGACCTTCCTGTCTTTACCAATATGACCAGAGACTTTTCCTTATTTCCTTTTTTCCAACTTTAAATAAGTAATTACTTAACTGTCCTTAATAAAACAATACACGTTTATCAAAAAGCAACTGAAATCACACAGGGAAGTATAAATGAATTCTTCATTCACCAAAAATAGGAGCCGAGTTCCTGAAAACCAATGCTGACACCTGGTGTACACCATTCAAAGCAGCTCTCAGTACAATAGGTAAGTCATTTTCAAAGACACAGACAAGTTAATAATGGAGCTCATACAATACATACTACTGCTTAAATTCTTATATTTAGACTTACTTGAATATTACAGAAGTAAAAAAACTTCTGAATTTCCATTAAACATTTGTTCATTACTAAAATTACTATTAGTTCCTTAAAGATTATCAGTACTTCTGAACCTCTGTGCCATACCCATTAGTAGCTTAGAAATAGCATTTTTGGAGTGAATTAAGACAATATAAATCAGAGTAGAAAATTCCAGAAGGCATCACACACAGCACAAATGTCTTTTATAAAATTTTACCACTGGTCAATTCCAGCCAAAAAAAAGTATAACCACT